CAACTGGACAGCCTGGACGTCGATATTTGTCAAATGGATCACCACAAGCTGACTCCACTCGAATACAAGGGGCCTTCATCGCTCCCTGTGGCAACAGGCCAAATTCGACATCACGAAGGACGGCAACTGCCCCATATGCAAGGTTCCAGATTCAATCTTGCTTCCCGACAACAACGCGAATGCCCTGTGCTGGGGCCTTGACTGGACGGAGCGGAGTATCGCATCCTCTGCCAGGCCAGGAAAACCGCACGATTTTTTCGACGGAATCAGCACACAAAAGCAAAGAAGCCCCTGCGAGTCACATCAAAGATCATGCTTGGTGCGCGGATCTGGCCCAACACGTGTCTGCCCGCCACTTTGAATTGCGGCGGTGGAAATGCGAATGCCCCGTGCTGGTTGCGCGAGCTGGGGCCTGGACCGGCAGAGTATTTCAGCGCCAGGCTGTTGGTCTTGCAAGAAAAGGCCTTGTCTTTGCCTGAACAACGAAAGCTTGGGCTGTCTTGCTGCTCATGCATTCCGGGTTAGATTGCGGTTGTCTTGCTCAGCACTACGAGCTGCAACGCAAGCAGACACTTGATTCCCCGCAACGAGCTCCAAGACTGTCATTGCGGCCTGGAAGACGGCGCTGCAAAAAGCTTGCTCGTCGCATCTTTTCTGCCCTCTTCGTGGTGCAGAAGCTGTGTGCGACAACGTCTGCTTCGAATGACTGCCCGGGCTCGACAGTCAACTTGCCGAGCATGCCTGCGTGTCAAGTTGGCTTCAGCTCGAGGTGCTGGCAAGCAGGCAAGAGCAACCTATAGGGAGCCCCCAGGCTGAGACCAAGCTTGCAAGCTACGTTTCATGCCTGGGCTGTCAGCTGCTGCAGAGCGTTGGCGGGCTTCACTTCAAGCTCGCACCAACACCAGCTTGTCACAGAAGAGATCATGGCTGGCGCGCCTCACTTTCTTGTCTAAATTGATCTGCGGGTGCCAAGTTCACGGGCCTTCCGCGTCGCGAGCTGGAAGCTTTGGCGGGCAGCGCGTAGAGTGGCCTGCTTCGATCACGGGGTCTTCAAGCTTTCAATTTTTGCGGCAGCTTGACTTGAACAGCAGGCTCCAGGGAAGAAGTCACCAGGACCTGCTACCTGGCCTTCGCTGCATGCTCGAGGCACCCTCTGCTAGGCCAGGAAAACCGCGCGTTTTCTTTAAAGGAATCGGCACACAAAAGCAAAGAAGCCCCGGCGAGTCACATCAAAAATCATGCTTGGTGCGCGGATCTGGCCCAACACATGTCTGCTCGCCGCGGTTCCTTGAATTGCGGCGGTGGACAGCACGTGCGCGTGCTTCCCGACAACGCGGATGCCCCGCGCTGGTTGCGCGAGCTGGGGCCTTGACTGGACCCAGCGGAGTATTTCAGCGCATCGGTGTTGCAAGAATAAAGGCAGGTTTTGTCTTCGCGTGACCAACGGCAGCCTGGGGCTGCCTTGCTGCTCACGCATGCAGGGTTAGATCGCGTTGATTTTTGCAGACTTCTTTCCTGCCAGCACTGCTGTTGAAACGCGTGACCAGGTGCAACGCAAGCATGCGCCTGATTTTTACTCCCCGCATCTTGCCTTTTATGCCTGAAACAAAAACACCGAGCGCGTGCAATAAACCATGTCGGGGTGGCTTGCATAGTGGGCTGCGAGTCTGACGGCTCCGCAGATTTGTTGACGTCAGGCTCTCGCAAGTGCTGCAGTACGCAGCCGCACTTTTTCTGAAGCTGACGGTCGCAACGGCCACGTCGGACTCGAACGCATGAGCTCCAAAGTCAAACCCAACCCGGTGCCGGAGAGCAAAGCTTCCCTGAGAAGCGAATCGGCTCACAGGTTCTGAGGCACGCGCCAGTTGCCGCAGGCAGGCTGACCTAGCCGCAAGGCTCTGTAAACCACACATATCAAGACCCGCAAGCTGGCGTTTGCCGGAAGACGGCCAAGTGCGGCAGGATTTGTCAAAAGCCCGTTGCCACGCTGGCCCCCTGCGCCTGCCTGGCAGATCTGGGCCCGCTCGGGCGCTTGTCTTGTTTAAATTGACTGGTGGCTGGACTGTCACAAGGAAGTTCTTGCCCTCGCAGAGAATGCCGCCACAAACCTTGAAGTTGACGCTGGCGGGCAATTGCTCGCATCTGGGTCAGGCCATTTTCCCCTCATCTAGGCAGGTCGCTTGAGCGGGGAAGACTTTACACTGGCTCTGGGCTGTCAGGAACCCCAGCGGTGTGAAGCGTGGCCTATAGGCCATGCTCGTGCAGTTCCGGTAAGATTGTGGTTTTCTACAAACTTCTTGCTCAGCATAGCAGAAACAAGTTGCAACGCAAGCAGGCACTTGATTCCCCGCAACGAGTTCCAAGACTGTCATTGTGGCTCTCTCTCTCTCTCTCACACGCCTCGCCCGTCCAGACGCTTCGCGAATCATGGAGGCAGACCGCACCGGTCCAGCAGCTTTAAGCTGCAGTGCTCAGTTGGCACCCCCCTCTCCCACATGAGCATGTCTGCTCCGGTACGTGTACCCGAGCAAGCAGCTCAAATACAAAAAGGCCCCTGTGTGAAACAATCATGAACTATTGCGCGTCTTTCCTCAGCCCTCTGCGCAGTTTGACATTCCACCGAGAGTCCTCAAGGAGCGGCGCTTCGACAACAGAAGGCAAAGAGACGACGACACTGCGAATGCAGCGTGCTGGTTGCGCGAGCAGCGCGCACTGCTTGTGTGCAAGTCCTGCAGTGTCCAGCCGCGCTCCTCCCTGAGCTCTGCGTTGCTGCTTCCACGGCACAAGCTGACAGGTAATTCAACTCGGCCTCAAACCTGGATTGAACACCAGGCTCCAAGGACTAAGGAAGAAATCATCAAAACCCCTTCGCTGCATGCCCGCGGCGCCCTCTGCCAGATGTCTCGTGGCAGGAAAACCGCACGATTTTTTTGACGGAATCAGCACACAAAAGCAAAGAAGCCCCTGCGAGTCACATCAAAGATCATGCTTGGTGCGCGGATCTGGCCCAACACGTGTCTGCCCGCCACTTTGAATTGCGGCGATGGAAATGCGAATGCCCCGTGCTGGTTGCGCGAGCTGGGGCCTGGACCGGCGGAGTATTTCAGCGCAAGGCTGTCGGTCTTGCAAGAAAAGGCCTTGTCTTTGCGTGAACAACGACAGCTTGGGCTGTCTTGCCGCTCATGCATTCCGGGTTAGATTGTGGTTGTCTTGCTCAGCACTACGAGCTGCAACGCAAGCAGACACTTGATTCCCCGCAACGAGCTCCAAGACTGTCATTGCGGCCTGGAAGACGGCGCTGCAAAAAGCTTGCTCGTCGCATCTTTTCTGCCCTCTTCGTGGTGCAGAAGCTGTGTGCGACAACGTCTGCTTCGAATGACTGCCCGGGCTCGGCAGCCAACTTGCCGAGCATGCCTGCGTGTCAAGTTCGTTTCAGCTCGCGGTGCTGGCAAGCATGCAAGCGAGCAGCCATAGGGGCCCCCCGCCCAGGCTGACGCCAAGCTTTCAAGCTGCGTTTCACGCCTGGGCAGTTCTAAAAGGGCGCTGTCAGCTGCTGAAGAGCTTTGCGGCGCGCGCTGCTGGCTTCACTTCAAGCTCGCACCAACACCAGCTGGTCACACAAGAGATCATGGCTGGCGCGCCTCACTTTCTTGTCTGAATTGATCTGTGGATGCCAGGTTCACGGGCCTTCCACCGGCACGCCGCGGAATTGGGGGCCTCGGCGGGCCTGGTTCGATCAAGGAGTCAAGCTTTCAATTGCGCGTCTTTCCTCAGCCCTCTGCGCAGTTTGACATTCCACCGAGAGTCCTCAAGGAGCGGCGCTTCGACAACAGAAGGCAAAGAGACGACAACACTGCGAATGCAGCGTGCTGGTTGCGCGAGCAGCGCGCACTGCTTGTGTGCAAGTCCTGCAGTGTCCAGCCGCGCTCCTCCCTAGCTCTGCGTTGCTGCTTCCACGGCACAAGCTGACAGGTAATTCAACTCGGCCTCGAACCTGGATTGAACACCAGGCTCCAAGGACTAAGGAAGAAATCATCAAAACCCCTTCGCTGCATGCCCGCGGCGCCCTCTGCCAGATGTCTCGTGGCAGGAAAACCGCACGATTTTTTTGACGGAATCAGCACACAAAAGCAAAGAAGCCCCTGCGAGTCACATCAAAGATCATGCTTGGTGCGCGGATCTGGCCCAACACGTGACTGCCCGCCACTTTGAATTGCGGCGGTGGAAATGCTGGTTGCGCGAGCTGGGGCCCGGACCGGCGGAGTATTTCAGCGCAAGGCTGTCGGTCTTGCAAGGAAAGGCCTTGTCTTTGCGTGAACAACGACAGCTTGGGCTGTCTTGCCGCTCATGCGTTCCGGGTTAGATTGTGGTTGTCTTGCTCAGCACTACGAGCTGCAACGCAAGCAGACACTTGATTCCCCGCAACGAGCTCCAAGACTGCATGTCATTGCGGCCTGGAAGACGGCGCTGCAAAAAGCTTGCTCGTCGCATCTTTTCTGCCCTCTTCGTGATGCAGAAGCTGTGTGCGACAACGTCTGCTTCGAATGACTGCCCGGGCTCGGCAGCCAACTTGCCGAGCATGCCTGCGTGTCAAGTTCGTTTCAGCTCGCGGTGCTGGCAAGCATGCAAGCGAGCAGCCATAGGGGCCCCCCGCCCAGGCTGACGCCAAGCTTTCAAGCTGCATTTCATTGCCCGAGCTTCAAGGTCGCACCAACACCAAGCACATGCAAACGCAAGGGAGCGAGCACCAAAAAAAGGTACTACTGTCGGCATTCTCGCTTTTGGGGTTTGGCTGTATCCTTCCTGAAGACTTCTGACACTTAACCTTGGGGTTTTACTAAATCACCCAAAGACACATGCGTGCGCCAGAAAGTTTAGCCTCTCGGATGTCCGTGTGACGCCCACTGTAAACATTGGCGCCAGCATTGCGCAGCCGCCTCCTTCCCAAGGTCTGGGTGGCTGCAACAGGGACTGGAATCAACCAAACTCGGCCTCTATCCTCAGCAGCTCATTGCCACTGGCAGCTTTTCTTGAGCACCAGGCTCGTCCAAACCTACCACTTGTTGTCCTTCTCTGCGCGATGTCCGCTCCGCCCACTGCCACATGTCCTGTGGCAGGAACGTGGTTCGGAAAATCCGTCGCTCCGCTGCGCCCCAACTACTGTTTCTGGCTGGTGGATCTCTATTTCGGAAAGTAAATGAGCCATGTTTGCTGGCTACATTTGTTTGCTTTGCAATGCTGAAGTTTGTTTGAGGTGGGTGCGCAATATCACCCTCCACAGGGACCCGCAGGTGCCAAGCCCCCGTTTTTTGAGTTGAGCTGTTTGCTTGGCGGGGCATGTTTTCCTTCAAAGCTTGAAACAGAATGGAGTATAGTAGAGAGAGCACGGGGAAACAGGACGACAACAGCAAAACGTGTATCCCCTTGCTCAAGCTTTGGCCATTGCCTGGGGACATTGTGGAGAATCTGTTTGTTTTGCTGCCACATGTTGCACAACCCATTCACTCCTATGAACCTCCTGGAAGTGCGCGGGTGCCGTGCGATTCGGCCTCTGGTGGTCTTCCTGACTGCGGTGGTTACTGCACACTGGCCTGCTGTTGCCAAACCAGGTTGGCACTTGCACCCATCAGCAAGTGCAAGCTGACCGATTTTCTGCATTTTTTTCTCAAGGCTGTCCTTGTTGGGGAAGCTGGAAAAAGGTTTACTGCTGATCTCGCTCAAGCGCCAGCATGGGGTCTGGGGGGTCCATGACGCGAACACTTGGAACGTTGGCGCCCGATTGACTTGAAGAGTGGGCTGTCAATCTCAAGATTGCGAAGATTTGCTGACCAGTTGGTCACTCTGTTGCCAATCGCGCAGTGCCCAGCCACTCTCCCCCCTAAGCTCACAGTCGCAGCTGCATCTGACTCAAACGCATGAGCTCCAAAGCCAATCTCAACCCAATCCCTGAGAGCAAAACTCTCCCAAGCAGCGAGTTGGCTCACAGGCTTTGACCGTTGCCGCCAGCAGGCTGACCTAGCCACAAGTCTCTGTTGAGCACGGATATCAAGACCCGCAGGCTGGCTTTTACTGGAAGACGGCCAAGACAGCAGGAGTGCAAAAAGCCATGCTGAAACCGGTATTTACAGCACAAATTACAGCTGGCTGGCAAATCTGGGCCGTGCTGGTCTGGTCTAAATTGACTGATGGCTGGACTGTCACAAGGAAGTTCTTGCGTGCGCAAAGAATGTCGCCACAAACCTTGGAGTTGGCAGTCGTGAGCAATTGCTCGCATGTGGATCGGGTGTGCTTCCCTCATATTCCCCTCTGCTGAGCTTCGGCGCACGGAAACGCACCCAGTTTGGACTAGGCCGAGTCCATTGGCTCTTCCTGCCAACACCATCTGCCAGCTGGCTGCACGGCAGACATGCTTCAGGGAACCATCAAAAGCCGCAGAAGCCCGCGTCAGAGATCATGCCTCAGTGGCGCATCGGGCGCAACATATCTCTGCGCGTGACTGTTTCGTTCGAGAAGCAGTGAAGGGCAAGCTCACGCGGCTCCTGCCAATTCTGTAAATGCCCTGTTGGCTGCGCAAGCGAGAAGGCCTGGCTGATAAACACCCTATCTTGCGAGGTCGGAGAGCGGCGAACTTCTGCGATTGCCCCTGGCGTCCTATTCGCGAGCCATTGGGAGACTGGGCTGGGGGAAGTGCAAGGTTTATGTTCCTCAAGCTGTGAGCTTTGGAAATCAACATCTTATCCCTCTTGAGCAAAGTCAATCAAACACGCTGGACAGCTCACCTCGAGGGCAGGCTTCAAGCCAAAACCCGTAGCCCAATTTCTGGTGACGCACTCAACGGCACTCACGTGGGTTGTCAACTCTTGGGCTGCTGGTGATCAACACAAGCAGCCTTGCTCTGTTGGCCTGACATTGCGCTTCCGTCCTCCCTCAAGAGAATTCCGTACCAATCAGGAATTTGCATCCTAAATTGCGCTGCAAAATTGCAACCAGGGTGGAATTCAAGAAGAAAGTGTCTTTCGGGTCAATTGACCTGGATGGGCAGCCCAGCGTCGACGGCATCATAGCTCCTAGCTGGCACAACATGGCGAGTGTTACGAAACAGCTCGATTGCTCTGATACTTGGTGAGAGGGAAACTGCTTCCACAAATGCGATGGTGCTTTGTTTTCACGCTTCGTTTGCAAATCCCCTCCTTTGTTGAAACAAGCCAATGAAAACAAAGGCACGGCTACCCGGGCTTGGCGCTGTTTGCCAAATGTGGCACACGGTACGAAGATAGCTTGAGCAGCCAACGGCTATCATGCAATTGCGGCTTCGCGTTTGCCATCCCCAAGCGCCGGATACAAGTGCTAGCTGGGCCAACAACAACTGCACATGTAGACTATCACCTCCAGCTCTAAGTTGGCCAGTCTGCAGTTGTTTTCGCTTTTCAACCCTGCTCAGCTCCATCAAAGCAACCAACTACACTCTGACAGTTTTGGTCAGCCAGCTGACTTGCCGCCCTGCAATGCGCAGTCTTATCAAAATGTGTGCGTGTGTGAGTGTCTGTGTGTGTGTTTGCGGGTGTGTGGGTGTGTGGGTGTGTGGGTGTGTGTGTGTGTGGGTGTGGGTGTGGGGGTGCGGGTGTGGGCTGCCAGTGGGGCTGGGCCAAGATACGGCGTTTATATGTTAACTTGTAACATACCTATTGTCTAACTCAAGGAAGCTGCAAGTAATATCGCGCAAGACCTACGTACTTGCTGGTCTCGAAGTGCGCATACATGGGGTTGCATTGACATGAACAACTGCGAACCAGGTAATTATTCTGACTGCGTTTTCTTAGTCAGTAGTTACGTGAGCCTATCGTGTCAAATTGCCCGTGAGCAGCAATTTCGTTGCAAGCTTAGAGCTAAAGCATGTGTGCGGTTGATGTTTTTTTCCGGTGTGAGGCAAACCCCCAACAAAGCGCAGCGCCAGATGCGCATTGTAAATTCTGCTACAAAGCGGCCACGCAAAACCCAAGCCCAGGTAGCGTTGCCCTGCGCCAGAGCTGCCATGCCCGGACCCCCCGGAACCCGGGCCCAACCTGTCTCTTGGTTTCTGACAACGCGCAGCTCTGGTGCAGCATAGCTCAGCCACGCCTCTTACTGCAAATGATTTCAGACCTGAAGAGATGCTGCTCAATCCCCGACGATGTGGACTATCAGGAATCCTCCTCGCAAAAGCACTCCAAGGCAGTATGGTGACTTCAATGGACAATGTCGATCAGCAATCACAAGCACTGAAAATCGTCGCTTACACCCTGCAACATCAGAGCTAGGAAAGATCAGAAGTTTCCTGCCGCCGGCGTTCTTCGCTAATTCAATCTTGGGGTGCTGCTTTCTCAAAATGGGACCCTGAATGATCTGTTGCCCCCTCCTTCAGATCCTCCTGTTCGGGGGGAAGTCAACCATCTTAGGCGTATGTCACGCAGTTTCTCCATAAAGGAGTGCTGTGGTCGGAAAAGATGTTTGTTGAACCCAAAAGTCGCGAGAAGAAAGTAGGTTTCAAAGCTTGTCACATTTGCGCCGCGCACAGGCCTTCCCCCAGGGGCACGGCTGCTCACTCGGCCCAGTTGGGACCTGCACCAAGTTGAACTTCTCCAGGCCGCCGCCCTTTGCCTGGATCAGCGACCAGGCATAGCTCACCAGCTCTGGGTCTGACGGGCCGCCCTCGTAGAAGAGTTCGTGGCCCATTATGTCTGTGACGCACAAAAAGTTCAAGTAGAAGCGGTGGCCCTTCCTGACTCCCAAACGCAACCTGAAGGCGGCTTTTTTTACAACTAGTGCCGTGCGCTTCACTTCTGGCACTTGAGTGTTTCACTGCTGCCTGTGCATGAACTTCGCTCGACCCTTAGTCTCTTCTCCCTTTGAATGAAGTCGTATAAGCTGGATGAAAACCCGTTGCTCGAGGCCAGTATGAAACTCTGGGAAGGAGCCCTATGGAACGAAGTGATTAAAACCCATGATGAATTTTCCCAGACCGGTCCTGGGACCAGTCCTGGAACCGGTGCTGGGGTCCTGGGACTGGTGCTGGGACGCTGGTTCTTTACTGGTCAGCCAAAACTGGTCCTGGGACTGGCCCGGAACTGGTAGGACCAGTCCTGGGACAGGTCCTGGGACTGGGGACCGGTCCAAGGACTGGTGCCACTAGTGCGACCGCGCTGGTACCTGCGAGTCGAGGGCACTGGGCCAACTCGACGTGACTTGGGCGCAAACCGGCCCGTGCGGTCATTGACGGACAAGCTGCCATCTTTCTGACTTTTCCGTTAATCCTTGTGGCATTTTGCAAGAGAGTCCAATACGTCGAGCCAAACCGCGCCAGACTGGGACCAGGGTCCCAAGTCCCGGTCCCTGCCGGCGACCTGTCCAGGGCAACTGTCCCAGGGGCAGCTTCGGGAGGGCCAGTTTCAGGACGACCCGGGAGAGGCGACCGCTCTTGGGCGCAAGCCGGCCCAAGCGGTAATTAACGGACCAGCTGCCATCTTTCTGGCTTTTCCGTTAATCACCTTGCTTGTGGTCCTAGAGGATCTTTTCAGTGGTCCCTGGGTTTGCGGACTGGCACCCGTGTTTCAGGACCGGTCCTTATGACTTTTCCCTTAATGCGCCGAGGGTCGGCGGCAGCAGGCGGGAGCCTGGTTAATCCGGCCGCGGCCTGCGAAGCGGGCCGAACAGCTGTGTCAGATTTACACGCTGACGCGACACAGCCGGCCACCGGGCACCTGCCCTGCTCGTTCTGTCGCTTCCCTTTCCTGTAAGTCCGATTAGTAGATGTTAAGATTTTCAGAGTCTATAAAAACTTTGAGATTCTAAGGGTCTCAGATTTGAAGACTGTCGGAATTTAAGGTTTCAATGGTTTAAGAATTAAGGTTTTAAGATTCAATTATTTAAAGTTTTTGAAGGTTATAACAGCCAGGCCATTGCCCAGCCATTTTCCATCTATTATCAGATTTCGAAGGCTTTAAGATTTTATTTTTCGGAGATTTCCTGATTTGGCGACTTTCGGAATTTAAGATTTTAAGATCTCAAGATTTCAAGGCTTCAAAGTTTCAAGATTAAGAGTTTAAGGAATTTAAAATATAGCCCGGATTGAAGGAATTTAATTATATTTGACTTGTTTATGAAGTGAAGATTTTCAGATTGCAATAGTTCGAGATTTTAAGAATTTAAGTTTTGAAAGCTTTTCAGATTCTGAGATTTTAAGACTTTGAGAATTTAGGAAGTTCATATTTTTAGATTTTAACATCTGAAGATTCAAAGATATTCGGGGTTTAAGAAGTCAAGATTCGAAGACTTTAGGATGTTTATATTTTCAGATTGTAAGATTCGATCTTCTAAGGTTGTAAGTTTAAGATCTTGAGGTTTCAAGATTTCCAAATTTCAAGAGTAAGAGTTTAAGACTGTAGGAATTTCATATTTTAAGAGTTAAGATCGCAAGATTCTAAGACATAAGGGTTTTAAGATTTCAAGATTCGAAGACTTTAGGATGTTTTTTTAAATTTTCAGATTTTAAGATTCTAAGTTCGAAGATTTTAAGATCTCGAGATTCTAAGATTGATTGTTAGATTTTAATTTAAGATCTTAAGAATCTAAGACTTTAGGATTTTGAGATTTCAATCCAGGCCATTTTCCATCCAGTTTCCATCCACTTTAAGATTTTAAGATTTTCAGGTTGCACGTTTTCGGCAAAGTTGGCCCGACTTAGGGGACAACATCCCCAGCATCCCTCGAGACTTTAGGATGTTTTTTTATATAAAATTTGAGATTCTAAGTTCGAAGATTGTAAGATCTCGAGATTCTAAGATTGATTGTTAGATTTGAATTTAAGATTTTAAGAATCTAAGACTTTAGGATTTTGAGATTTCAATCCAAGCCATTTTCCATCCAGTTTCCATCCACTTTAAGATTTTCAGGTTGCACGTTTTCGGATTGAAGGAATTATATTATATTTTACTCGTTTATGAAGTTAAGATTTTCAGATTGCAATAGTTCGAGATTTTAAGAATTTAAGTTTTGAAAGGTTTTCAGATTCTGAGATTTTAAGACTTTGAGAATTTAGGAATTTCATATTTTTAGATTTTAACATCTGAAGATTCAAAGACATGAGGGTTTCTGTCACTTCCCTTTCCTGTAAGTCCGATGAGTAGATGTTAAGATTTTAAAATTCTAAAAACTTTGAGATTCTAAGGGTCTCAGATTTGAAGACTTTCGGAATTTAAGGTTTCAATGGCTTAAGAATTAAGGTTCTAAGATTTCATATTTTAAGAGTTTAAGATCTCAAGATTCTAAGACATAAGGTTTTTAAGATTTCAAGATTCGAAGACTTTAGGATGTTTTTTTTTTTAAATTTTCAGATTTTAAGATTCTAAGTTCGAAGATTTTAAGATCTCGAGATTCTAAGATTGATTGTTAGATTTTAATTAAGATTTTAAGAATCTAAGACTTTAGGATTTTAAGATTTTCCATCCATTTTCCATCCACTTTAAGATTTTAAGATTTTCAGGTTGCACGTTTTCGCAAAGTTGGCCCGACTTAGGGGACAACATCTCCAGCATCCCCCGAGACTTTAGGATGTTTGTATATTTTCAGATTTTAAGATTCTAAAGTTCGAAGATTTTAAGATCTCGAGATTCTAAGATTGATTGTTAAATTTTAATGTAAGATTTTAAGAATCTAAGACTTTAGGATTTTGAGATTTCAATCCAGGCCATTTTCCATCCATTTTCCATCCACTTTAAGATTTTAAGATTTTCAGGTTGCACGTTTTCGGCAAAGTTGGCCCGACTTAAGCATCCCCCGCATCACCGGCATCATCCGCATCAATGTCCGCCAAGGATGCGGATGATGCAGGTGATGCCGGGGATGTTGTCCACTATGGGCACCCCCCAAAAAACACTCGTTTTTTGACTCCGCGGGGAGATGCTCAAAAAGCCGCCAAAAATCGCCTGAACAAATCCGCAAATCCTTCGCCCCTTATAAGGGTGGGCCCAGCTTGGCGCAGCGCAAAAGTTCGGCGGTGGGTCGGCGGCATGGGGCGGACGGCCTTATACCTGAAGGTAGGCCCTACGGGCCTAGGCCTTCGGCCGTATCACGGACCACGGGGTCTGAAGCCCCCCGGTGGCCGGATTACCCCCTTGGTGCTTAATGCCGCCGACCCTGTGCATGCCGAGGATGCGTGAAAAGGAAAGTGATGAGCATCACCTGCATCATCTGCTTCTGGCGGGTGCGTTTTTGGGCTTGTTTTTGGGTCTGCAGCCTTGGGCTTGCAAGTCTGCAGTCTTGCCCCAGTGATGCGGGTGATGCTGGTGATGCTGCGGATGTTGCTGGGAGCTGCCTTCCACACGGCGGAAAAACACGTGAAAATTCAGACGATTGGTTTTGACATGCGTTTTGCGTGGCAACTGGCCCAGGCGTGCGTGCGTGTGCGCGCAGGCGCGTGCCTGCGCGCGTGCGTGCCTGCGTGCGTGCGTGCGTGCGTGTGCGCGCGCGCCTGCGTGCGTGCGTGCGTGCGTGCGCGCGCGCGCCGCGTGTGTGCGTGTGGTGCGGTGCGGTGCGGTTCGGCGCGGTGCGGTGCGGCGCGGTGCGGTGCGGTGCGGTGCGGTGCGGGCGGTGCGGGGCGGTGCGGCGCGGTGCGGTACGGCGCGGTGCGGTGCGGTGCGGTGCGGTGCGGTGCGGTGCGGTGTGGTGCGGTGCGGTGCGTGCGTGGGTGGGTGGGTGGGTGTGTGTGTGTGTGTGTGTCTGTGTGTCTCTGTGTCTCTGTGTGTGTGTGTGTGTGTGTGTGTGGGGGGTGGGTGCGTGAGCGCGTGCGTGGGTGGGTGGGTGAGTGTTGTGCGTGAGTCTGGTGTGTGTGTGTGTGTGAGTCTGTGTGTGTGGGTGCGTGCGTGGGTGGGTGTGCGTGCGTCAGCGCGCGTGCGTGCCCGAGTGTGTGCTTGCGCGCGCGTGCCTGCGTGCGGGCGGGCGGGCGGGCGGGCGGTGAAGGGGACATGGCGAAATGACGGGAAATGGATAGAAAATAGATGGAAAATGTGGAAGATGGATGTTTGGAAAATGGACGTGTGTATGTGTGCAAGCAAGGAAATTTGTGTTTGTTTATGTTGTTGTTGTCGCTGCTGCCTGCTTAGCCGTCCTTGCAGGAGCTGTGAAGTTGAGCCTCGCGATGCTGCCGCGGCCGGTCGTGCGCCAGCAACCTAAATCCGGCTACGCCTCCTTGGGGTAGCATGTCGCCGCTAGGCAATTAACCTGCTAGCTTTAGCTATAGGGGCTGCACCCTGGTGCCGCCGACCCTCGGCTTGCGGTTTTGCTTGACTGTGGGAAACCCTCGCGAAACATCGCGAATATGCAGGGTTTAGGCCATGTGGCTGACATCGTCAGGGTCTGGGGTTGGGCCTGGGTGATGCTTCAGCGGGGCTTGGTCTGCATCATCAAGACTTCCTTCCAAAACGCCTCTCAACCCATGAAGCACTGTTTTTAAGAAGGTATCGGAGAGGCATAAGCGAGGCTCATTTTTGCGCATTTTGGCTGCCGGGCATGCCGGCGATGCTGGGTCCTCGCTCTACAAAACGCTGTAAATACCGCCAAAAACTGCTGTGCTGAGCGTTGGGCTGTTGTTCTGTCCGTTTTGCTTTTGCTGTGGCTGGCTCGCGTGCTGCGCGGTCCTTGCTTTTTTCCCGTTGGTTTTCGGGCTTTCTGGCGCGCGCGCGTGCGCGACCCCAGGCACAAAACGCTGCTATTTACGGTGTTTTGTTGCGTTTGCGTTTCCGGGCTGGCTTGCGGGCTGCTCTTGTTGGGCGGGTCCTCTGGCGCGCGCGCGCGCGACCCCATGTCAGCCTTCTGGGTTGGGGCCCGGATGGGGCCCAGAAAGCCGGCATCCCCGGCATTATCTGGGGTTGAGGTGGGCAACATGCATAACCTAACCAGCCATATCATAGCACACGCTACGTTTCTCATGCACAAAACATGACATGACATGGTATAACTTCAAAGAGGCGTAGCCGGCTAGAGGCCGCAGGCCCAGAAAATATGTTGCGCATGGCAAGCTTGACAGATTGCTAGCTGGACAGATAAAGGGCTTGACAGAGAGAAATGACTTACATTCAAACTCCTGTGTAGGAAGCTCTGAACCATAGGAACAGCAAGGAACCTTAAGGAAAAACCTGCCGGTTCTTATTTTTCCTTCTGCGCGGTGTAATGCTGTGAACTTCAAAGCCTCTTTCTCAAGCCGTTGGCCACAGCTTGTTTCAAGCCCCAAAACAGTTTGCCACTGCCAAAGAAAGGACAAGAGACCTATTCAAGAGGACCAAGAGGCCAGGCAACGCAGGGCCTACGCACAAGAAAAGTAAGGGCCGCTCTTAAATTCAAAGCTTTCCTCCTCCCCCTACTTCGACGGACCAAACCCTGCGCAACAACGAGCTGCCCGGTGAGCTGATACGCAACTTGCAAATATGAATCAAATAATAACGCCAGGCTATCCAGCCTCAGGTAGTTCCAAAATTGGCGCAATGAGAATCTTAAGTCGCCAGGTGCCCCGAAAAATCCTTCCGACTCTTCTTACACAAGGCGTTGACCGTAGCTTGAAAAAGAGTTAGCTTAGCAAAATACTTGCTTGACATAAGGCTAGCTGGTGGCAGATAGATAGCTTGGCACAGCAAGCTTGAGATTGCTAGTTTGACAGACTTGTGGCTAGTTGACAAAATGATACCTTGTTTCATGTGGATAGCTTGACACATTGCCAGCTTGAAAGGGACGGAGAGATAACTTGGCAGATGCATTGAACGTAGATGGGTGCAGCTTGACACTTCCCTCCAGGAGCTTTGCCGGCTATAGGGAGAACAGATTTGTGAAAGAGCTGATAAGAGACTTCTGAGTTGGCTCTGCGTTGAGCTAGCCCAAATCTGAAGCACCACCAAGTTTCCAGAGCTCAGAATGCCACATTGCCATGCGGCACCAGTCCCTCTCCTTGCAAGGACCCAGCTCTTGCCGCCAGTA